TGAGATCTTAAAGTCTCCAATTAATGTGTCAGGCTGACACTTCAGTAAATGGTACTATGGACAAAACCAGTGCTGGTTACTCCAACTAATCTGTCAAACGTCTGAGTTTTAATGAATCCTCGCTCAGACAGGCTGCATGTTACTGGGTCAGTCTCTCACGTCTCAGAGCCCTCACCGTTACTTTGACAGACAAACCAAGAACCTAAAGGAAATGGAGGATCTCCAATGGAATCATCTTTAAAGGTCCCATGTCATGGCCATTTCTACTGATCATAATTCCATTGTTGAGGTCTACTAAAATTGATTTATATTGTTCAATTTTCCAAACTCACATTGGTTTCTCTTACAGCATCTCTGTATAGTATGTGTATTCACTCTCTGTCCTAAACGGCTTGTTGGAGCTCCTGCCCCCCTCCCCCTCCCTATGAGCCCACTGTGCTCTGATTGGTCAGCTCGCCCACTCTGTTCTGATGAATCCACCACCGTTACAGCGGAACATCAGTAATTATGTGTTACAATGGCGTTTGTTAGCAACCAGAAAATGACACCAGTAATGACAAACAGATGAGAATGCTGCGTCGGGTCTTGGTGCCGTGTGGGCGGGACGTTGCGGGGCTCGCTGCTGGAGCGGACAGTGTGAGCTGGCTTGCTGCGGGTACATTTATGCGACACAGCGAAGCCCAGCCTGAACCCAGCCCGAGCAAATGGACCAATCCGCGGAGACGTTACGTTACTATATCCCAATACGTCACTGTACTTACACTATAAGAAGAAAACAATGGAAAAAGAAAAATCCCCAACGAGGCGTTGAAAAAAAAAATAATAAGCTACATAACACACAAGGGGACGGGTAATAACCGGAAAAGCATGACATGGGACCTTTAAAACCTCAAACGTCTACGCGGCACACTTTGAAATGTATCCTCTGCATTTAGTAGTAGGAGCAACTACTTCTAGTCTACACTTCCTAAACTTCCTACTACACTTACCTAACCAAGCACCTACGGATTGACATACTGAATCTTCAAAAGTGTTATTTCTATTAACCAGTCAGAGCTTGGTAGGTGAAAGAATGGAGACTTACTCTACAACCTGAATACCTGCAGGCAACCACTGAAAACAAACTGCTTCGTCAACCAGCCTATGGTTGGATGAATCGTATTACACGTTTTTTTGAGGATGATCAGCAGCTGCCTCTCCTCTTCGTCCATTCATCCAGCTGCTGGCGGTTCAGAAATAGACCAGAAGATAAAGACATAATAGAAGCTCTTTAGCAGCACTCGTTAATGAGAGCTGAGATGACGCGGGTTATTTTTTCCAACCAAACACCACGGTGTCTTATTTCTGTAATGAAGCAAGGTTGCCCTTCAGTCAGAGAGGAGGCAGTAATCGATGAAGTGATTTCTAGACTGGCTCTGAGCAAAGTGCTGGAGGAAGTACTCAGATCACTTACTAAGGTAAAATAAGTGGATCTGAAATTTTAACAGCATCAGTCTTAGTCCATGCACATCAGATAATAAGTCACACTAACAGTGACACTCGTAAAGGATCTTCATTCTTTGGCTTCCATCAGGACACCATAGGGAACATATCAGGAGTGGCACATCACTTTGAATCATATTACAAACCAAGTCTGAGAGTCAGAGGTATGCAGCCAAGCTGAAGAACTCCTCACACTCCCAAGAAGCGTCAGAGAGAAAATCTAATTAGCAGTTAAACATTTTCTCCCGACGTAACCAACATAAGAAAACATTTTTTTAAACACAAAGTACTCTAAACTGACCCAGCCAAAAAAGCAAAGCCAAACAAAAAACAAGCTTCTCACCTAGGCTAGAGCCTAGGTGAGAAGNAGTTAAACATTTTCTCCCGACGTAACCAACATAAGAAAACATTTTTTTAAACACAAAGTACTCTAAACTGACCCAGCCAAAAAAGCAAAGCCAAACAAGGCTAGAGCCTAGGTGAGAAGCTTGTCTTTTGTTTACCCTTGTCTCTTGTTTACCCTTTACCCTTGTCTTTTGTTTAGCCTTCTCCTGTCAAAACAGGAGAAAACCGGGAATATTGAGTAATCAAACAAAAATGGCTTCTCGCTCCTACTACTGCTAGTTTAAGAAGTAAATAATTACAATAATACAGAGGTTCCTTTCTTAAATAATTCCCAAAAAACATATTTGCCACACAGGCCCATATAGTAACTTGCCAAAAGGCCTACGGCAGTGGTTCTCAACTGGTGGGTCGGACCCAAAAGTGGGTCGCGGACCCGTTTCGAGTGGGTCGCAGATGTGTGAGTGAAGAAAAAAAAAAAAAAAAAAAAATATTTTTTAAAAAAAATTTGTTTTGGAAAAAGGTCAAACTTTTATTTTGAAGGCCCGATTTTCTAACGCTTTGCAAGCAGTAGGCGTTGGACTGGAAGTACCGGAGACCATAAATGGTTTCTCGATAAATAGTCTTTGCTGATATTTTTTCGAGTCTTCTGGCCAATCAGAATCAAGATTGTTAACGGAAGTCCCCACGGAGAATAGCTTTGCGGTAGAACTATTCTTTATACATCCATGGGTACAACATCAGATAAATATGAACACATAATGAAATATGACCCCCGGTTTGATGATTGACAGGTCACAGAACAAAGGGGGCTATCCACCCTTACCCACAATTTAAAGTAATTCACACAGACTCTCTCCTCTTTACTCTNNNATTCTCTCCGGTATTGTCCTCCTGTGCCTCGCTCATGTTTTACCGGTGTTTTGATGGTCTGCAAACTAGCGGGGCGGGGCCTGCTGTGATCTGATCAAGAATGATTGTGATTGGTGGTTTGCTGTGCATGCAGAGCCTGCATGTCACTCACTCAAGTACCCCTGACATGAGAGCCACGCAAGTTTTCTTTTTGTAGCAAGCAGCAAAAATAATTGTAACATGACGTGTTTGAGTTAATGTACCTACTTAATATCGCACGTCCCTGCGATGTGCATATCGCGGTTATCGCCATGACACGATATATCGTTCAGCCCTACTTTATAGTATCACTTACATCTGAAAGTGGTGTGAATGAAGGGGAAAAAAGGGGGAAAGTTAATAAATACTGATGAATAAAAAGTTAACGATGTTTTTTTTTCTGCCTTTTTAACTTCAAAGTTGAAATTAGTAGTTTATTTTTTGTCCTTTCATCCATTCCAGTGTATTAACAGTACAAACCTGCATCTCTGTGTGTGATTAAACCCTCCCCCCATGGGTCACTACCAGTTAATGTTCTGTACTTTCCCTGGAAGAGTCATGTGGAGAACGTTCCTGAGAAACTATAGGGGAGTGAGGAAAACATTGGAGTGCATATAGAGAGAGTAAAGTCTGTCCAGCACAGCTTCTCTCCACTCGGTTGTGTTCGGAAACATTTGAAGTAGATTAGAGCTTTATATTGACTTGTTGTGGAAGCTTTAGCGAGTACATATCACATTTTCTCTTAGAAAAACAAGAATTGCAACACTTTGCTTTGTGAAGAAGGGATTGGCTGAGAGGGGGTACTGTACAGCATGACTGTTTTCTGAGGACGTCAGCAGCAAGTTTGCACAAATCCTCCCTATGGCTGGTTTCATATTTAATTATTGGAGAGTTGCTCAGGGAATTTTACTTTAAAGGCACTAAATCCTTAGATGCTATGCTTTTGGGGGGCTTTCCCACTCCTGTAGTGTTTATATCGGTTTGTGTGCATGTAAATGGTCTGCAGGGGAACATGTTAACAACACAGCTAGTCCTAGTTGGTATGTCTCATTTCATATTGTGTTAAAGGGGACCTATCATGCAAAATGCACTTTTTGATGTCTATACATAAATATGTGTCCCCGGTGTGTCGGGGAACTCACGCAGCGTCAGAAAATAAAACCCTCTCTCTTTTCCTCCGTAGCCAAATCTCTAAAAACGGGGGAACAACGGAGCTGATCCAGATTTGCGTCCGATATGACGTAATATCTGAAATGTGGACCCACGGCCCTATCAGAAACGTTGCTATCAGAAACAATGCCCGACTGTTTTGGACGTAATATGGTCTTTGTTTACATTAGCATCGCTAACACTTATTTTCCACCATCATTTGCAAATAAATTCTTTAAAAATCAGACAATGTGATTTTCTGGATATTTTCTTCTCATTTTGTCTCTCATAGTTGAGGTATACCTAGGATGAAAACTACAGGCCTCATCTTTTTTAGTTGGAGAACTTGCACAATTGGTGGCTGACTAAGTACTTTTTTGCCCCGCTATATATGCGTAAAAATAGCATAATAGGAGACCTTTGTGCTGTAAAATGCAAAACCACTATTCTAGCCTCCAGCTCAAAGTGTGGAAATAACTGAAAGTATTAGAAAAAGTTCCCATTCCCACACATGGAACAACTGAAATATGTGCTTGTCCACACGTCAGACTGGTAACTGAAAATAGGAAATAATGCTAGAGGTTCATCCTTAATTTCTCCTCCCCTGTCACCCCCCCTCTCCTCTCTGCAGCTCTGGCTGTCGGCCAGCACTTGTAATGCTGTCTCTGTGTTGGATGCGCATACATAAGTCTTTTGTATATCAAGTTTTATGAGCACAGTAGGGCTGCAGCTAACGAATATTTTCATTGCCAAGTGTTTGTTCTATGCGATGGAATAATCAGTCCATAAAACATCTGAAAAACCACTTTCCCAGAGTCCAAGGTGACTTTTTCAAACGTGTTGTTTTGACCAACTTAAATGTCATCATCAAATGTTTATTTGTTTAGCTACATTGCTTCAGTTCTGTATACAACAGACCTTCGTGGTATAGGTATAGCCTTTCGTAATACAAGACAAACTGCTAAAAATAATCATTTGTCTGACTCATATTTTCTAACAATCATATTTATAATACTGTAAACATTGGGATTTGTTTTCCCTTTCTGCTTTTTGTTGTTGTTGTTGTTGTTGTTCTACTTCTTATAATAATCACTAAACAAGAGATACTTAATGTTTTCAATGTGTGTGTGTTTCAGGAGTGTGTTTCCCCCTCGCTAAAGACGGCGTGTTTTCCTAAAGCACCTTTCCACCCCGGACCCTCCGTGTTACCACTGCACCTATGAGGTAACGTCAGGAACCAAAACCCCCTCCCCATTACCACCCTCAATCCACCCCCCGTCCCCCTCTCCCCCGTCCCTCAAACCCCCTCCTCCCAGCCATGGGACAGAAGATCTCTGGCAGTATAAAGTCAGTGGATGTTCGCGGGGAGCCCTCATATCGCCCGGTACGTCGAGAACTTCGGGGTCCGGACTTCTGTCGGCCCCCGCGACTCGACTTACTTCTCGACATGCCGCCGGCCAGCCTGGAAACGCAACTCCATCACTCCTGGAATCCGGACGACCGGTCGCTCAACGTCTTCGTGAAGGAGGACGACAAGCTGACGTTTCACCGGCACCCCGTGGCTCAGAGCACAGACTGTATCCGGGGGAAAGTGGGTTACACTCGGGGGCTTCACGTTTGGAGGATCCACTGGCCGTGCAGACAGAGAGGGACGCACGCGGTTGTGGGCGTGGCCTCCGCTGAAGCGTCGTTACACTCGGTGGGCTACACGGCGCTGGTGGGAGCGGACTCTGAGTCCTGGGGCTGGGACCTGGGCAGAAACAGACTCTACCACGACGGGAAGAACCGCCCCGCTTCCACGCCAGTGCCGACGTACCCGTGCTTCCTGGAGCCCGACGAGTCCTTCGTGCTTCCCGACTCGCTGATGGTGATACTGGATATGGACGAGGGAACGCTGAGCTTCATGGTGGACGGACAGTATCTGGGAGTAGCGTTCAGAGGACTTAAAGGAAAGAGACTGTATCCCATCGTCAGCGCGGTGTGGGGGCACTGTGAAGTTACGACTCGCTACGTCAACGGACTAGATCGTAAGTTGAAATACACACACACTGACACTCACACACACACGGACACACCCACACACTGACACACACAGACACTCACACGGACACACACACACACACTGACACACACGGACACACCCACACACTGACACGTACACACACAGGTTATTGACAGTATATATGTCAAGCCTTCACAGTTTTTGTATTTCTGCAGATATTTTTCTTCCATTTTCACTTCATAAAACTTTTTTTGGGTTCTCATGGCAGTTGAAAGGTATGCTGAATTAAGTTTTCAGTTTTATGTAGAACTTATTTGACATCCACACACACACACACACACACACACACACACACGGTTATTGACAGTGTATGACTCAAGCTTTAGGGATTTTGTATTAGTGCAGATCATTTTCTTCCATTTTCACTTTCTTAAAATGTTTGGATTCACATGGCAGTTTAAAGCTAGGCAGAATTAAGCTTTCAGTTTCATGTATAATAACTGAGGTAACTTATTTTACCACACACACACACGCGCGCGCGCGCGGATATGTTTCTTCCATTTTCACTTAAACTTTTTGGTTTCACATTGCAGTTTAAAGGTAGGCAGAATAAACTGCATTCAGGTTTCAGTTTTATGTATAACTGTAATAACTTATCTTACATCAAATCCCTATATATGCATCCTATAAACGAAGTATGAAGTGTATATTTGTGTCACTGCACAGATGTGTAGATGTGGAAGGTAGTTTTCACAATGCAAAGAGGTTTTTTTTTATGTATAAACCTCCACATATGCTTATATTTAGATTGTCTCATCAAATATGTAAAGGCCCAAGGCGATATTTGTTCTACATCAAAGTCCAGTCACAAACCCAGTGTAGGACCAGAGGGGAGATTCAGGAAACACGATTCTAGGAAAGTCTTCGGTTATGAGCAGTTACTGGTCATGTGTCTGGATTTATGGCAAATGTGTTTTAGATACTGCTGTGTCACTCTGTCAGCCTACACTAAACTCTTTACCCTCTCGAGGAATCATACAATCTGAACCAAAGCTTACCTCGTTAATGTGTGAAATACGGGGAGAACCGGTGTGGCTAATTTCTAAATACTAATACCTGATTTTGGCTCTCTAGACATGTTCAGGATTTAGAGTGTAATGCAAGACTGAACAGGCTTTACTTGCAAATGTGTCACATCAGAGAGGATGGATGAGCAGCGCACATTTCTGTATGCACTGATCTAAAAACAGCCTGCAGTGAAAGGGACTGAGGCTTTGTTTACCAACAGGAAGCAGCTTACATATCATCTGTGCGTACTATTTCTACTCTGCAGCTTTCGAGCACTCTCATGTCCTCAGACTTCCTCGAACTTTCACTGAAACCTTGAATTAATGGGAATATCTGTTTCACCACAGCCCAGAAGTGTAAGTGTGTGTGTGTGTGTGTGTGTGGTGTGTGGTGTGTGTTGTGTGTGGTTGTGTGTGTGGTGGTGTGTGTGTGTGGTGTGTGTTGTGTGTGTGTGTGTGTGGTGTTGGTGGTCGTTGTGTGTGTGGTGGTTGTGTGTGTGTGTGGTGTGTGTGTGTGGTGTGTGTGTGTGTGTGGTGTGTGTGTGTGTGTGTGTGTGTGTGTTGTGTGTGTGTGTGTGTGTTGTGTGTGTGTGTGGTGTGTGAACCCTCTGTAAATGTCACTGCTCACAGATAGACCGAGTCAATCTCCATTAAGTCTTCCCTCCAGATGTGAACGCTCCCAGTCTCCCTCTCGCTCCAGCCTTACTGTTCACAAAGAGGCCAAAGTGGGGGTTGGGGGCGGCCGCCGAATCGTGCACAGAACAACCATGGTTCCCCCATGGCCGCGAGCCATGTGTGTCAGTGTGTGTTGTCATCTGTGTGGTGTCAGTAGAGTGGGATCCTGACAGATGTCCCAGTGTGCTGCCGAAAGCTCAGCGTCGCGCTCCCGAAGTGGGAAAACCATTGTGCTAGAGGTTACATATCTGTACGCAGGCTAGTGCAGCAATGATTAGAATTGGGGGCTGCCAGCGATTTGAAAACACAATTGTATTTCAACTGTATTGCCAAATGATCAGATGGCTTATTTGTAGTCATGTATTAGCATCATCATTTTGAACAAGGAAGCTGCAGCAAACAAATATGTATTAAAGTCGTAGAATAATCATTTGTATCGCTGGGATATCTCTGCAGT